CAGCTAAATGTTCTGTTGGCTAAGTGTCCTTGTTGGCTAAATGTCTTGTCGGCTAGCTGTACATGTCAGCTAAATGACCTGTCGGTTAAATGTTTGTGTCAGGTAGATGTCCTGTCGGCTAAGTGTCTGTGTCGGCTAAATGTCCTGTTAGGTAACTGGTGTTGGTTAAGTGTCAGGGACCCGCTGTAGCTACCTATGCCCACTGCAGCTTATTTGGGTGTATCTATATAATCAGTATCACAGTTTGCTGTAGTGACAATATTAGTATGCTGTGATCTATTGTAATCGCTCGATATTCTGTTGGAATATGGTGCAGGAGATGGAGGAGGATGGATAGTCTGTTGTGAGGAAGCTGCCTGTTCTGTGATTGCTATCTGAGCAGTTGATGCAGCTTGGCTGCATTGCTCTGCTTTTGTGTGCCACAGCAGTATATTATTGTATGTCTCTTGCATATGCCCAAATTGACAGTTGGTAGCACCTGTTAGTGCCAAAGGGACTCTGTGACATGATGTGCTTGCCAGCTCATGAAGCTAACATTGCTGCGTAATGGTGGTGAATGCTGCTGGCTGACATTCCCAGGATCCACTTGATATTGCTGTTTTTTTCATCAATTTGTAAAGAACTCTGGCATTAGCTTTGGTTGTGTTAAATTCAGAGGAAAAGAGATTTTCTATGTCTGATCTGTATAATCTGGGGTTGACGTTATGAATTGTGCACCCGGGCAGTCCTTGTGCAGGGACCTTGGCTTGCATGAGTATTGATGCATCTCTTTTGAGCTTTGTTTCCAGCTTTTGTAGGAACGCATTCCAACAAAAACTTGTTTCTGTATGGGTCTTACTATCATGACTTTGTTTTCCAGATTATGCATTGGTGCAATGTTTGTTATTTAAGTTCACAATTGCTCACTTGTTTGTTCAACTTTTGGGTAAATCAAGAGTGTCGTTATTAGTGACAGTCCTTTGAGTGTTTGTGCATTACATAGTGATGGTTGAAATTGCTTGTCTAGGAATTAAATGCTGTTGGGTTTTCTAATTCTTCTTGCGGTTGATTATGAATTGGCACAATGTTTGTGAGTTCAGCTCATAATTGCTTGTGTTTTTGTTCACTTTTTGGGTAAATCAAGACTGCTGGTATAGGTCACAGTCTATTGAGGGCCCATGCATACTGAAGTGATGGTTGTTTGATTGAAGTTGCTGTGAGGGAGTTAAATGCTGTTGGATTTTCTGATTCTTTTTGCGGTTGAAGTAGCAATCATGGCAGTTACGTTTGGATTTGTTTTCGCAGCTTCCCACAACCTTTCCAGTGCAGCAGTTGAGGAATCCCTGTGGCAGTCGATCCCAGTCCTGCAATAAGGAAGGTTTCAACTTTAGAATGGTTCTCAGAGAGGGATAGTGATATGTAATTGCCCTCCCAAGAGCATCCAGGCATGCTCTCTAGGTTAAGGTAAGGAGATCTGGCTGGCCAATCCATGCATGGAATATCCTCACTTTCCAAGCAATCATCGACCAGCTGTGAGCCCTGTGTGGACAAATCGTGTCATCCATTAACAGGAACACAGGACCAACTGTACCTCTGAAAAGTCGAACATAGAGCTCTAAGATCCCTTTTTTGCCAGACACATACAGGGCTGTGCAGCCATTCAACTTAATGCCTGCCTAAACCATTACACCTCCACCACCATAATGATCCTTTTCCCTTTTAAGAGAGGGATGGTATTGTGTTCCAGGCTCTCTCCAGATGCAGGTATGCCAAGAATCAGTGTTCAAGCTCAATCTCGACTAATCCGTAAAAAGCATGGTGTGCTCCACTGAAGTCTGGTCTAAGGTGAATGTTGTCTGCATCTTGCTAAACACACTCACTCTCTTGTGTGCTGCAATGAGCAGGGCACAAACAGCGAGTTTTTTGGCATACAGCCTTATCTCGTGAAGCCTTTGGGCAGCTGTAAACCATGAAACTCAGTTTTCATTGGCAGTACAGCTCATATGAGAACTGTGAAGCTGCAGGTGTCCTGTGTCATCATGCTGAAAGTGCCAAATAACGGTTTTCATTCATCATTGTAGATTTTGGCTGACTTGATATGGATCCAGTGTTCTGAAACTGTTTCCACAAATTGCAGATGGCATTGGGCATTACATTTAGCTCTGTAGCCACTTGCACTTGTATTTGGCCTGCCTCCAATGGCAATAACATGCCAATGTTTTTCCATATTTTGATTCTATGACTCAAATTATGCCTAGATATTAAATTTTGTAATTTTTGGTGAGAAATTAAAAAATTTATCTTGCACATTTTTATCAGTTTGCAGCAAGAATAATTTACTTGGCAAACTTCTTAATTCATAGCAACCTATTTTCGTTTCTTTTTTCATTGTATAGGAGCAGAAAAAATTTCGTTCATACTTTCAAATAATTTTTAACAAGATGCGGAAACCATATTTGGTGTTATTATTGCTTATGACAAACACTAATTTTTTGCGATGGCAAAGATATTATAGGTTATAATTCAAATTTTTTTTGAAAAATTTATAAAAATTATTTTAAAAATAAATAATAGATGAATAAAAAATAGACGAATGTTATTTGGAATGAACCTAAATTTCAAAATGTGAAAGGAAGAATCAAATGAATTCACTAAAAAAGAGATATTAATAAACATATACCAAACTCAATTAACATTGAGCAGCTAAAATTTTGAGAGCTAATTTTTTAAAAACTACTCGTAGGATTTTTAGAAAACTTGACAGTCTGGCATAATTTGAGTCATAGAAAAGAAATATGGGAAAAAAAGTGGTATGTTACTTCAGAAAAAGTCCGATTTTGTGTCAAAATACTTATGCTAGAACAATGCTATATATAAATCTAACATATATCTAAAGTTGTGCTTTCAACATATGAAAAGCTCAAAGTTGAATTTTGTCAATCAGCCCAGTAGAATGAGAGGATATAGAACTGTCCCTCTCTTTTTTTGTTGTTTTTGTGCAGTGTATATACATACATACATCCCTGAATCCCGTTCCAAAACAGAAAAGTGCCTTATGTGAAAAGGTTAATGGGCACTGCTATTCTTCAATTAAATTGTATTTTAGTAAGTAAATTTACCATACAGTTCTCACATCGACAACTTAGGATAAACTACTGTAATTAATTCCCAAGACATACTGTCTCAATGGACACGTGTCGTTTGGCTCAATTCTGACATTTGAAATATCGTTTGCAGAGGGGTTTTTTTTTTCCAAATTTTGCAGCATTTCATTATATTGAACTGCCTGTGGCTTTACAACTTCTACCACTGCTGAATATTGCACTTCACAATAACAATGATTGACAAACCACAGGATACCTGTGTCCTTGTTAACATTAATGATGAGTGACCTTGAAGGTAACTGATATCCTCTAGTTTAATTTTGATAGAGTCGATGACCTTTAGTTAAAAGCTAAGGACTGTGAACCTGTAATTCGCCAATGACCAGCAGCAACCTTGATAGACAGCAATGTCCTTCTTTTTAAAATCTATCTAAACTACTACACCATCCCTTGCATTTGACCCTTGTGTTGATCATCGGAGATTCTCAGTCTGCAGGTCACTGGTGACTATCATAATATGCAAGAGAATTGATTTGAAGGATTCATTCTTTAGATACAAGTATGTACTAAATGTTCAATGCAAACATTTTTTAAACATTACATTGCTGGTAGGTAGTGTTTCTTAAAGTATATAGAATTTTATGATGTGAATTTAGGAACCATAGCTTTTGACTTGGGGGGGAGAGGCATTTATTGCCTTATTCATTGAGTATCCATTTGCTCTTTTCAAAATTGATAAGAGACTACTTCATTGATATATGACATTTGATTTGGTTATTAAACATTATATTTCTGTGATGATTTTCAGCATTGAAATTTGTGTTAGCAAAGTTATTTCACATTATCATTCATTCTTAACACTCATTTACATCCGCTCATTATTGCACGTGTTCAGATTATGTGTTAGAATTGTGCAATTTTTTATTGAAATTCTAGCCTTTTTTGCTGTCTTTTCATCTGTGTGATGTTAATCTGTTATCATAATTTCTTATGCATTTTTAACATTCTTATTTTGAGATGTTAGCTGTTCAAAGCAATTTTTTATTACCAAGTCGTTTTTGAGCCTTCCAAATCATTCAAACAATTTTGTCCAAAAGAGCAACATTCTTCCAATAAACTTTCCATGTCATTTTCGAGGTTTCATTAGGAGAAATAATGTCAAATTCTTAATAGAAAGGTATGTTCACTTATTTTAACTTTGTGAAATGAATGAAGTATATTCATTAAGTCTTTGATTTATGCATCATAAGATATCTTGATTTTCATGGTAAAGGAGAGACATTATTGCACATGCTGCTCTTTATTCTCAATTAATTGCTGTAAAGGCAAAAGTACTGGAATATTTTAAAATTATAACCTACATTATAAAATATTTATGTGTTTGTCAGACAGTAACAAATATGGAATGTGTGCTTTGTCTTTTGCTGTAAAAGTATAACAAAATAGCACTGTTAATTGCTTAGTCTTTTTGAGTCAAAGCACATGATATAATTAAATTTTGACATGTTCCGTTAATCAGACAGTAAAGTCATCTAAGTGATTGAGAAAGCAAGAAAGTTGCATCTAAACAGAATTCAAAAGAAGAGCAAGTTAAAGTATTTATTTATTTTATTTTACTTTTGTTTGACCAAAAATAGGAAAGATGGTCTATAGTTGTCTTGTGTGTACTTATTAAATATGGACAAGGCAACTATAATAAAGTTAATTGAAAGAAATGGATAAAATGATTTTGTTTTAATGTTTCTGACAAAACACTGCATAATGTAAAAAAATTGTGAAAATATTTTATTAAATAGCAATTTATGCTTTTAATGCCCTGTTTTCTCTGTGCTCTTATTGTCAGGGAATATTGCCCTGTTTATTATTATTTTTTAAACATAAATTAATTTTATATTTGCCTACTTTTTGTCTTTCTAGGGTGTTTGTCAACTTTTACATGACATGTTGTGTTTAATTGTTAAATGCATTATTCAGTGGCGACCTAACACTTTTGATGCAGAAGCATTTAATAACCCTTCTTTACATGATGTTGCTAAGACTATAGTAACATATTGCAAAGGTTTGTATTCTCAATAGAAAGTAATTTTAAAGTGTCAGTTTTATATTAATAATAGTTTCTGCATAGTTATCTACAATGATTTCCTCTTCTGTCTATGTCTCATTTATATATATATATTATAGATGCATTTGCTTCACCAAGTAATTTAAGGATATTTATACAGTCATCACCACTGAAGTTCTTGCAAGCTAAAATATGTGAACGAAAGATGACAGAAATGATTTACCATATTCATCGTCTTCAAGCATATGACGTACTGACATTGAAGAAAATTGTATGTATTACCTTTGGAAACCTTTTGATAATTTTAATTTTTATTATTTCAAATTAACTCTTATTTGCAGTGTGATTTATTTTCCCTATGTCAAAGTGGATAGAGTATAAAATTGAAAATGACATGAATAAGAAATATGGGATTTTATAATTTTTCTTTTAAGCAAGTTAAAATTTTTCTTGTGAGTTTATAACAAATAAAAATTCTATCTAACTTTCTTCCCTCGTATTAAGATTAAACGCAGTGGAACTTATCTAATGTAATTGGTACATCATGCAAAAGTTTAAAATGCTTATAATATAGGGATGTATTTCAAATAGATAGCAAGATAAAAAAACTGCTTCTTTTTTTGTTAATAAACAGTTGTATTAATTAAAAAAATGCAAAATTCTTGTTAACTGGTTCAAATGTTTCTCTGTGTTCAAAAATTGTTTTGCTGCTTTTCAAAAGGTATAAAAATCTAGTTTTCTTGTGAATAATCATGTAGCTCCTACTGACATAAAATTTTAGTATGTATAGTCAAAGTTTATTAGTAAGTCACCTGGATAATGGGTGACTTTCCTTACTTTGTCAAGTTTTTTGGATCCCAGGATTTTTTGGATTCATTTCCATGTAGTGCATATTGGTATTAAGTCGAATTTAAGATGCTGACTTTGAATATCTGGTCATATATAAACCCAGAAAGTGATCAAAATCGTTCTCCTTCCCTAGACTATAAAGCTATATTCCAATACATCAAATAGGTTAGTATTTGTCAATCAAGAAGGCTAATAGTAAATGGAAGCTATCTATTTCTAAGGAGAGGTAGACAAACATATTTTCCATCGATTGCAACTTCTGTAATAACCCCATTTAGCCTCCAAGTAGAAGAAATTTTTTTTAACTTACCATACTCTTGATTGATTTACCGAAAGAGGATTAGTATGCTGTTGCTTTACTATGAAGAAAGTTCTCAAAAAGAATGCTTTGGAGAATTTGGATATCTTTATAAAGTATCTTTATCTGTGGAGAAAACAGTATCTGAAGATACAAATCTTTGTATTATATTGAAAGTAGGACTATCAATAATTATTCCAGAAATTAAGCATTAGTTTAAAAATGCATTTCATAGCTATAAAATGATATTTATCATTTTGTATTGTTTCTTTAAAATTTATTTTTAGCATTTAATGAGAATTATTAGTCATAATTTTATTTTATTTATTTAAATATTATACTTACTTAAATAAAAAAAAAAAAAAAAAAAAAGCATATTATTAGAAGTCCAGGCAAAAAGTCATTCTAAGTAATAGGCCATTTTTTTCCTGGCCCTCAAACTATAAAATCATGTTAGATAGTATTATCGGCATGCGGTGTGTAGTATGTGATTTAGATTAGTTTGTTTTATACTAAAAATGCTCTGTTTTATGTGTCCTTCACTGTTATATTCCTTTATCTCTATATTTTAAGTATTTGCTTATTAGTATCTAAAATTGAATTATTTTATTAATATGTAGTATTTTTATATTATTTCATCTATTTTTATAAATCCATCACCCAGACAGTATAGTGGTTAGGGAAGCTGATTGCAATACCAAAGAGCCTATCCCAGAGAAGGCATGGCTATAATTGTCCATCCCTTTATAGGAGGCAAAGGTGCCCACTTATTAGGTACTTCCATGATAAAGTGACCACCACTTCTGGCTTTAGTAGTGGTCAACTGAAGGCCCATCATTGTCTTTAAAAAAAAGTTATAAATCCTTTTTTTTTTTTTTTTTCCTCCTCTCTGTGAAAAAAATCATAAGAGTTTCGCAGTCACCGAGGTATTTCTAGTTAATTTAATTTTAAGTTATGATTCATAATCTAATTTTAGCACCAGATCTACCTTTTCTCCTAAAAATAGCATATTTTTATATTACCGTAAAGGTTATAATATTGATGTTGAATGTATTATTATATAATTAATATGAAGTATATTTTACTTCATACTTAACTTATGCATGTATTCTGGTATTTTTATAATGTTATTAAGTACTGCATGTATTTTCACTAAATAAGTGAAAAAGTATAGCTAAAGTGGAATGCATGTACCAGAATTATTTTGGCCTTTTAATTAGAAATAAATATGAGTATCTTTGTTAAATAAAAATGTATATTTATGATTTAAGTTGGTATGTACATATGAATTAATTAATTATGGCAAAGTACACAAATGCGGCAAGCTTATAGGATTTTCCCTTCTTACATTACCTCTAGAATGATGTTTCTTAAACTATATATAGGTCATGACTCCAAATGGTGTGGCAAATAAAAATTTTGGGGTCACAAAAATCTAATTCGATAGTTGAATTTAAAGAAACTGCATTCCTAAGACTTTTAAAGAAATTTCATTAATTGTCATTAATGAGATTAGACTTATAAAGACATTGCATTTATTTATGTTAATGAGATTAATTACCTGTTATATAAAGGCCAAAAGGAATTTGTAAAGCTATCTAACGATTCAAACCTGAAACTTAAGTTTTCACAAGGACCAAATATCATTCAATGTTGAAACATATTGAAGATGCTTTGTGTCCAACGATGTCAAATATCACACCAACATTTAATTTGTTATGTAGCAGAAAACGAGCACATCTGTCTCATTAGAATTTTCTTTAATTTTTGTTTGCTTAAAATAAATCCTAAAACTACTTTTTGTATGTATATTGTTTACCAAAGAAGTAAATTATTTATGGGAGGATATTTATCTTTATATCTTTATTTTATATTTAATATCTGGAGTCATGAAAAAAATCTCAGTGACAAAACGGTGTCACGATTGAAAAAGGTTTAAGAAGCCCTTGTTCTAGTATATCATACCATTACTTGAAGTATTAATTTAGAAGTCAAACAACAAAAATCAGCATTATGTTTTCAAATTTCAATACTGGAAAAGTTCAATACTGTGAAATTTGAAAACTATAATGCTTATTTTTGTTGTTTGACTTCTAAATTAATACTTGTTCGGTGTTATCACTTGAAGTATCCAACTTCCCTGCGAAAGAGAGACAAGTCAATAGAAAAAAAAATTTTTTTTGATTTGAAGAAAATTTTATTTCACAATTATTACTGAAAGATTTAAGTAGCTAATTAGTTATTTAATTTGTTAATTCTTCAGAAATATAGGGAAGATAACTAAACACTTGCATCTGAATGGAAGAAGAAGAATCTTCTAAATAAAAAGTTTGGTGCCCTTAAGATTTAATTCAGAATTATACCACTTGTGTATATGCATGCACATTTCTAAGTATGTATATATTTTATTAATTTAACAGCTGTTAGGAAAATTTATGATATGTTTAAAAATGTATAAAAGGTAATAAAAAAGCTATGTCAAAAATATGATATATGAGAAAAAGAATCTTCTAAATAAAATTAAGGCATATATATGTGTATACATGCACACATGTCTCAACATGTACTTATTTTATTAATAATTTAACAACTTAATCATAAAAAAAAATCACAGTATAAATTTTATGATCTATTTTTTTATTATTATTTAGGTTGATGTTTTTATGTTTCCTAGTGATAAAAGTAAAAAGACAAATACACAAGAAAAAAATGGGTGAGTATACTTTTTTATAATTTATACTTCTGATATTTTTTTCTTCAAAATTTTTAGTTGGAATGACATGTGAAAATATACATAAACACATATGGTATATAGTATTTTTTTGAGTTTGTTGACAAAAGAGTGGCTTATGAAATATGAAATAATCCTCAATTTTTTATGAGTTAAAAAAATTGTATTTACATATTTTTCAGATCAACAAGTAGATCATGCAACAGAAACCTTGTTGTAAAATCAAGTGTAAAAGGTTTGTTTTAATAATTTAGATGAATTATTGTTTCCATTTTTCAAGATACTAATTTGGATTAGTCAAAGATTTTACATGTAAATAGTTAAAAATGCTTTAAATTTGAAATCTTAGTTTAAAAGGCATACTATTCATATTATATTGTTTCATAACTTAATTATTCCCATGTAAGTTATTTAAATTAATTTTATGTATCATAATTATGCAAGTGAAATTGTTATTTATGAATTTTTTTCCTTGGAAGTTCTATTTTTCTCTTTTTAAAATTTGCAAAATGTATTATTTTAAATATTCTGCAACTGTTCTAACCGTCTTAAATTTGGTGTTTTTTTATTATTTTGGGTCTGATTTAATTATGCTATAAAAAACTACAAAACTGTGGCATGAATTAAATATAAAAGAATCGTCCAAAATTAAATGTAAAAGAGTCATGTAAAGTGTAACTTCATACATAGTTAATTAATACTTTTACTAATAAATCTGGATATCAAGAAAACTAATTCTTTTTAAGTAATGTTGAAAGTTATTAAAAGAGTAATTACATTAAAGTGAACTTAGCAGTTTTCACTGCAAACAAAATTATATTTTAGTAAAGAAATTTTGCTATAAATTTTGTAAAAATAGTATTTATTACTCATTGATTTATTAAATATTCATTAAATTGCTTCAATCATTATTAATTTTGTAAAAATAATATTCAGTACTCATTGATTTATTAAATATTCATTACATTGCTTCAATCATATTCAAAACTACTATAAAATATACTAGGTATTAAAACCAAACTATGAGATGTTCATCTTACTAATAATTGAATTTTTTAGGGAACACAAAGCTGCATGAAAGTTGTAAAAAAAACAAATATGGGGACTTGATGGATCTTGTAAGATCATGTGGCAAAGACATAAATGCGAAAAATGATAGACAGCGTACTCCTCTGCATGAAGCGTGTTTAGCAGAGAGTTACTTTTGTGCTCACATTCTCTTAAGCGAAACTGGAAAAGGTTTTTCTTTATGTGTGTTTTTGTTTGCCAGTTTTATATTTAATTAAGCATAGGGTGGAACAGCTGGGCTGATTTTTTTTTGGGGAGGGGGAGGGGGTTAATATGCCAATTACATTGAGAACATTCCATGGAATAGCATGCCAAATGTAACTTCATTAGCTAGTTTGGTGAATGAAATCTCATTGTCATAAGCACTTTCAAAATCGTAGTATTGTGCATAATAAAAACATTCAGAATATCATTTTATTTGTGAATGAATATCACTGTGTATAAAACATCCAGATGAATTAAAATTAAATTTAAAAAAAATGTAAAATGTGTATTATTGGAAAATTACATTCATCACTTACTTTGTATGAGAATTATTAGTATATCAGGTATTTAAAATTAATGCAGTTTCTGTGTTTATGAAAAGGGTAAACCATCAGTTCTGATTAATTTGGGTATGTATTAATTTAGGCCAAACAAGCAATTTACCTAATTTTCTGATTTAAAAACATTAAAATCCAGTCTAATCTTAAGGTATATGTTATTTATTCGTATGCATTTGTTAAAGGGGGAAAGCTACCTGATGGCTTTAATGATGAAAGTGGTTAACTAAAAATTGAAATAATATATTCATAAACTCAACTTATCGCAAATTTTATATTACATGCAGAGTTTTTTTTAAGTGATAAATTACACAGAGATCTAAAAAATGTATTTGATATAGCAAATACTAGAAATTCATGGTGATTGCCAACAAATAAATTTCTGAGTTTAATCACTAATTTAATTTCCTGAGCTTATGCGTTATCTGGTAGGCTTAACAAAAAGACATGTAGGCTAAAGTTATTTTTCAAAACATATCACATCTTATAGTATTTGGTCTTGATAATTAATTAATGTGTTAATTATAAATAAATATATACTTTATCCCTAGAAATATACACTGATAAGCCAAAATATTATGACTTTAGAAATGAATGAATTAAATGATGTTGTGTATCAGCATAAATTTACATGCTGTCAGGAATACATAAGACTAAGGATATTAAACTCATTTAAATCAGGGCTGTTGTCCATATAACTTATGGATTATACAAACCTACATATTTTAAGACTGGCTCATTCATTGCCTGTGAAACAGTGTGCTTGTTTCATTTGTCATTATTTGCTTGCTGCTTTGCTTACTCTTAAAAAAGTATGCTTCTGTTTATTCATTTCTGAACTTCTGATATTCCCGATTTATTCCAATATTACTCGGGTTCATGCTAAAAACTAGTATTTCATACATTGTTAGGTTGGCATAATTTTTCTTGTAATTAAATCTGATTATTTTTTAGAAGGATATCAGTTTGACTTTTCACTTTTAGACAGTAAATTGAGACCTAATATTTTTATTGTGGAAAATACACACACTCTGTGGGGCAATGATAAACATACACATAATATGTTTAGGATTTTTGTCATTCTTGAGAAGTGGAGGCTAGCTCTATCTTACAGCTAGAGGACCGATTGATGAAATTTTAAAAACAACAAATGGTAGGGAGCTTAAGTATAATTTATTTTGAATCAAAATGACATCATGATGTTTTACAGAGGATAGGAAAATCAAGTGTGGTGCTTTAGTTCTTTCCTTCATGTGGATTATGGTTTATGCATCATATGAATCAGGAACTAGCCTTTATGTATCTTGATATAAACACTTTCTTTGGCAACTTATTGGATTGTTCAGTTTGACTTGGTCTGGTCCAAAGTCAAAACTAAAAAATAAAATTTAAAAAAATGTATAATTTTTCTTGCATATCGTAAATTTCTGCAAAATTTTGATTTTTGTATTTCTGACCCCCCCCCCTCGAAGCAAGTACTGCTTTAAAGCTTTGCTTTTCTGAGCTGCTGCTATCTAGCTGTTCCATCTATGCAAATAATTTGTGACGTGTTTTGTGATGTGAAATATAATGTATTTACTTTTTTGAAATTTAAGTTACTGTCATTTGAAATTAAATTTTAACATTTATGCAAATAATTTGTGACGTGTTTGGGAATGTTAAATGTAATGCATTTATTTTTTTGAAATTTAAGTTACTGTCATTTGAAATTAAATTTATGGGTAGTCCGTTTTGAGTGATGTTTGAATAACTTGCGCTCGACGATGGCAAGCAAGAAAATGTACTATTTAAATCAATTTAATGTGCTAATTTATGGTTTATAAACTGTAATACTTGCACTCTTATTCCCATTTAATATAATGAATACAATTTTTGACTACATTTTAAAATTTTAGATTTCAGCAACTGCTGCTGAAATTGTCCACATACATAACTTATAATTTTGACAGAAGTCACATTTTTCTTCCCATCCCCCAAGGGAAACTGAAGAGAGCATATCAAAAAACATTTTATAAAATTTAATATTTAGTATTCCCCCCCCCCGAAAAAAAAATAAAGGGAAAACTTAGTTTTTCATAAATTTTGAACTAAACTATTAGTTTTGAGGGGGATGGTATAGAAGGCCTTTTTCTTTGGGAGAAAAATATTTTAAAACTCCTAATTTTTAGCACAATCGGACATAGTTAGTAGAAAACACCCTCCCCCATTTCCCAGAAGAGAGATCAACGTCTTCTCACCTTTGAAATCAGTACAGTTTTACCATAAATCTACTAATCTATAAAGATTGCTTTTCCCCCTAATTTTAGATAACAGAACCACTGCCAGCTTATGAAATATCAGTTAATTAAAAAAAAAGTTATTGGAATTTCTATGTTTAACTATTTAATAAAATGGATATGAAATTTGACAGGTGTAATTTTTGAATATTAAGTGTTATAGGTAAATAAAAACTTCTATAATATGTATGTATTTTCACTGTGTGATTATACTTTGGAAATCTTTTAAAAATTATTAGGGGTAGCCTGAGTGATTTATATTCATGTTACTTATTTTTGAAAGATACAACACGTTTGTTAATTAAATAATTTTTAAAGGTAATTTTATTAACAGTATGAGATTATTTGCTTTCAACTTTAAAATACAATATATTTTGCTTATATTTTTTGTTTTAGTTATACCTTAATTGCATATCACAATTTTCATGAATAAGATATGTAAAATTTTTCCAAGTACATTGTTCTGTGAAATTTCTTTAATATTGAACGAATGACATGAATTTTTTACTAACTAATATTCACTAAATTAAAGTTCATTACTTTTTTAAGAAAACAAAAAAAAAATTAAGATTATTTAAAAAAAGTTTTACATTATAAATCAAATCATTAATCTGATATTAAACAATTATATTGCAGTACTAAGTATACATTGATGAGCCAAAACATTATGAGCATCCCACATTTTTTGATGAACTCGTCTGAGTGACCTGGAGGGCATATGATTAAGTGGGAATGCTACTATTTAACTGCTGCTGGAAAAGGTAAGGAATTATTCTTGCACTTACTTTTTCAAGTGATGGAAAAGGCTACTGATCTAATCGAATTTGATAGAGGGGCAGATTGTAATGGCCTGAAGACTCAGAATGAGTATCTCTGAAACTGCACGACTGGTAGGATGTTCAGGATCTGCCATTGTCAATATTTATGCAAAGTGGGTAAGTGATAGTGAAACCAACTGTAGATGCCAAGGTGTTGGATGTCCTCGCATCCTCGGAGAAAAAGGGCATCGGAAATTATCCCACTTGGTACACAAAAAATGGTGCCACACAGTGGCTCAGCTGACAGCTCAATACAATGCAGGTCCAAGTGCAAGCGCTTTGGAATACACAGTTCAGCAGACTCTGTTGGATATGGAACTGCGCAGCAGACATCCCACTCGTGTGCATCTGTTGAGCAAGCGTCATTGTCAACTACGCCTACAGTAGGCCTGGCAACATTGACACTGGAGCATGAATAAATGGAATTCAGTTGCTTGGTCAGATTAATTGTGACTTCTCATTCATCACATCGATGGTCGTTTCACGGTACGAATTTTTCCTAGCATACAGTTGCTGCCCCTTGTACAGGCTGGTGGTGGCAATATTTTGCTTTTAGGGGACATTGTCATGGTTGGCTCTGAGCACTTAGTTTTGTTAGAACATACCATGAAAGCTGCAGACTATCTGAACATAACTGCAGATCAGTTGTACCCTTACATGGCATATGTTTTCCCAACTGGAAGTGGAATCTTCCAGCAGGACAATGTCCCATGTCACAAGGCTCAAAATTGTGGTGGAATGGTTTGAGAAGCGTAAGGATGAATTCCAAATAATATCCTGGCCACCTAATATGCTGGATCTTAACCCAATACAGCACATTTGGAATGTCATGGAGTGGCAGCTGAGAACTCAAACACCACCATGTTGGAGTATCTCATGGAGTATCTCAACTTTCTGCGACTGCTGCTTAGGCATTTGGTACAACCTGTCTCTAGTCATCTACCAAGAAGTTGTAGCATCCATGCAAAGGGAGTTGCAGCTGTTTTGCAGGCACACTGAGTAGGTGGTCATAAAAGTTTTGGCTCTTCAGTGTAGTTCAGTCAATTCAGGACTATGTAGTATGTGATATTGTTGTAAATGCTTTTGCTTTGTGCTGATAGAGTGAATGTCTGTGTCTTGTAACTAGTACTTCTTAAATTTCTGAACTATTTGCATTCATTTCTCCATGCTTCAAATTTTGTATAAAAGCGTGGCTTATCTTACATCATAATATTATTATATAGTAATATCATTTCCTTAAAGTATTTTTTTATAAAGCTTGTATTTTTAAATAAAATTTTTCTAGTTTCAGGTAGTTTGAATAGGACAATACTGTTGTGTTAGCTATCCTGTCATTTTTTTACTAAAATCTTAATTTGTGTTTTTGTAAATATTTTAGAACAAGTATTAAATACAGGGCAGTCAAAACCTATGACAAAGCCTGTCAGTGATTCTAGTAATTCCTATTGAATTACACTGATACAGTTTGACAAGAAAGGGAAAAGTATAGGCCTATTTAACATCTAAAAGATTTTAAATTCATCAAACTAAACAAATTATTTAGAAAT